CTTTATGGATATAGTCCAAATTTCATAATCTCCAAAATTCTTTATAGATTAAATCACGCAATATAGAATAACCTTTTTTATTATTTTAACGTGACATCATCAATTGTACGCAAACAATAATAGTTTTCAAAGGTTAATCGCAATGAACCCTTCAAAATCAACTTAAACTACAATCATCTAAACTATTAATCAAAATCTTTTGCAGCTATAAAATGAATGATGTTAATAAATGATAACTACGTAAGAACTTATAAAGGTCTTATGAACTTTTACTTATGCAGATTATTTGTAAAAACAAAATTGGTTGGCTTTTTCATAATAGTGTACAACTCTTTATTTAATTTGATACTATGAATTTCTTCATCAATTTCTTTGATTTGAGAAATGAACTCATTACATTATCGTAGTAGGAAACAACTACAGTATCCGTACATTTTAAAATAAAATCACCAAGGAATTTGGGCATATTTTCCGAGATTTTGGTCTAGTTTCATTACATATCTCGATAGCTAAAGTATGATCATCATGAGGTCTATCATCATAGGGAATTTCTTTGGAAAATAATTCATTAGCCTCCATTCAACGGAATAAATTTCTGCTTGATATATGGTTGAATAAGTAAAGCTTTTGTAGTAATGCTCCAAACCCCTCCCTTCCTTTTGTAGTTTTTCTTTGCTTTTCTTTGCAGGTTGACACATTCCCAAATCTCCGGTACAAGCACCAATATCGAATAAAATAAATTTCCCGGATGAAAATCTTTGTGGACCCTTTCAGCATTATAAATATCCCTAGCGAATTGCGTTCAAATATATAAACTTTTTAGATTTCAATATATAATCATGCAAATTTCCTCTACTTGATCTCATGTTACCCTGTCACAGATTTAAACGTAGGACAAATAAAATATGGGGCTTCGTCAATAGAAACACGGTATCTGGCAAAAAAGCTATTTTGAGATAATTGAAATCAGAGTTTGGTGTAACAACAACAAATGGAGATTTATTATTAGAATTATATGCGTCTCAAAATTGAATCTTTGCTATAACAATCATTTTTATAATTATTCGTCGTTAGAATTTTTTACGCATTTATTCTTTGAAATATTTATCTACAATGTAATTTACATATTATTTCCTTATATTATTTACATACTTTTTTTTAAGAGATTGTCTTACGAATATAACCAATTAATAAATTTTTTGATAAAAGTAAAGCACTATTATCTCTGTTATAAAACATGGCTTATTATACAATGAATAGCATGAGAAACGATATTGTTAATTTTTTTTTGTGCTTTTTGGTGGTCTTGGAATTACTGGTTCAGGGCAAAGGCAATCTTGTTTTTCTCTGACTTGAATGTGCTTTCGTACTTCATCAAATAGATACCATTGCCGAGCTGCATTTAAACCAGGAAGTGAAGTAGTTGCTGGACTTGGTTTGGCACCTTTTTTCAGATCTTTTCTCCAAATTTCAATAAAATTTGTTTCTTTATTAATAGAATTGCTTATCTCTACTTTTCCTTTATATTCGTTATCAAAAATAAAGTGGTGCTGTTTTAAAATATTTGGAACAATTTTGAAATATTCTTTTAACCATTCACTCCAATTATAGAAATATACAACCTGCTCTCCGTTTTTGTCAAAGATCGTTTGCACTACATTATATCCATTTGTTGTTGAATTTTCTACTACTTTAATTAGGTCATCTAAATTATCAACCTCTGACTTAGCGAGTGCCAATTTAAATAACCCAAAAAAAGAATCTAGGCTAAATTTTGTGTGCCCGGCAATCATAAATGAATATGTAATTCTATCATGATAACCCATCATTACACGCCATGTTAAATAAGCTATCATTAAATTGTTCTTGTTTTGCCCAGAACAATTATCGGAATGGATAATTAAATGTTTTTCTCCCAGTCCATGCAAAAGAAAATAATTGTGCACTAGTGAAATAACCACATCTGCTCCTTTTCCAGGCATTTCACTTTCTTTAATAAGATAATTCACTTAAAAATAATCAATAGTTAAAAGATTTTCAAATATGAATTAATAAATAACTTACTTGATGAGGAAATGCATCATCGCATATCCCAAAAACATGAACTTTGTAAAGAGACTTAAAAAATGTATCTCCCTAATAAAATGTTGATTTTATAATTAGTTTTTTTAATAAAATCCAAAAAAAAAATTAAAACAATTTACCTCTTGTTGTGATGAAGAAGGTAATTGAACTTGTTGAGCAAAGTCCCAAGATAGATGTACTTCAACATCTAAAGAATTAATTTTTCCTGGACGAATTATATTTTCTTTACCAAGTCTTTCAATAGTAAACTTGGCTCTTTCTATACATTTTTTAAATATATCAGTTAAAAGCATTAATTAAAAATTAATTATATATTTTAAGATGCATAATAAACTTACTTGTAATATTCACGTTCATCATATGCGGCTTTAATATGTGTATTCCATTTAATTACTCTTTGATCTCGCTCCTCTACAGTCTAATTACCAGCATTAAATCACATAGTTTTACATAAATAACATAGGTCACTTCGTGGAGTTAAAAACTTTATTTTGGGAGAATAGTTTTTCCAAACTCGACAAAAAGTACTTAAACTGATAGTTAATTTTTCAATGCTTTCACATTGTTGAATTGCCATTAAATACTTCTAATGCAAAGATGAATAGCTTTCAATAGCGGGTAAAAAAATAACTTCCATTGTTTCACATCTGAAATGTCGTCTTAAGGTAAAAATCAAAATATGTAAAAATGTAAATAAAATATAATATAATGTTAAATTATATACCTGGTGATGGAAGACCCCATCTGTTAGTGTAACTTAATATAAAACTAACAATTTTTATAATTGTTAAAAATGAGATCATTCTATTACTAGGCTTTTCAATAGCTTTATGAACCCTAGCTTTGATGTCTTTAACAGAGAAATGGGTTCGTATATTTTCCCATCTTGTAGTTCTGATCCCATAAACAAATTTAAAAGCTTTCAAACAAATTTCTTTTGCATCAAAAGAATAATCACAAACTGCCTTAACCCTTTTATTACCTTTTACTGTTACATGTTGTGATCCTAAACTACTGATAAGATAACCTATTAAAAAAGAATCTTAATTATTTTTTGATAAACTTTAAAAATTTAAATTTCTCAAAAAAGCTCTTTCAGTATTAATTTTATCTTTTAGACAATTATTTTGACAACATGATATTTCAATTATATTTTTTTTAAAACATTCTTTATTATTTCATTTGATTTCTTTGTCTAAGAGTTGCATTTCAATATCACCTAAGTTATCACCTTCAATAATTTCAGTTTTTTTAAAAAGTTGTTGATATTTTTGTAATTGAGTTTCTGTAATAACTAAAAATTCACTATTCTCCGCTTCTACTTCGTCTAAAATTTCATCATTATTTTCTAAATTTAATTCAGAAATGTTGCTGTCAATAGTTACGAAATGTGTTTGAAAATAAGAAAATCTTGTTGCAATGTTTGAAGCTCTTTATGGGTTTCAGAAAAAATGCTATTTAATAATGGATGAGTCATTTTTAGTTTAAGTAATACAAAGATATCGTAAAATCATTAAATTTTAGAGGTTTATATATTAATTATTTGTGTTCAAATAGATTCAAATTGATGCTTAATTTCACAATCTTATGATACTTATTTAGATAACTTTTTCGTGCACAAAAAATTTTTTTTATTATTTATATTAATTATTGTAAATTTGCAGGAAGTTCAAAGATCGTCAACTCAATTTATGAGAATTCTTGAAATTCTATTTTTAAATTGGCTTACCGATCACGTAAAATCGTGAAAAATAGGCATAGAAAAAAATTATACTATACAGAATAATAATTTTAAAGACTGAAATATGTTTTAGAATGTCTGTTTTATATAGCACTGTACTTAACTCATTTTGGTAAAAATCGTCAGATACTGTGTTTCTATTGATGAAGTCCATATGTCACAAGATGTCTTATATCATATGACAAGAATACATAACTACTATATATATGAGTTTTCGATTTACTTTTTGCATAAGGTTTTTTTTTTGAAAATTGTGTAATTTATTTTTGCAAGACAAACCAGTATATTTTTTCTATCATTTTTTTTTCTTTTTTAAAAAAAAATATCTAAACTTAATAAAGATATTTTTTACTTGATATTTGAAGAATTATAAGATAATACAAAATCTCTCTTTTTATGTCTATTAGTCAATAAACTTTGGTGTGAGGCTGTGGTTCTGATCTTATAGAATGATCTTTGGCACTCAATAAATAGAAATTTTAATAAAAAAATTTCTTTATACAACATCTTTACCTTATTTTTGTCTGACAATATTAAAGAATCTCAAACTAGTAAAATCAGATTACTTCAATTATCATACCGACCACCTTTATTTGATTATCTATCATTTTGCAAGTATATCAATTCAAATATTATAAACAAGATGTCTTCAGTCTACTCTCCTTTGGCCAATGATCAATATCATTTTCAACAAGAAATTTATGATTTCCTTATTAGGAAATGCCCAATGTTAAAGTATTTGGATATGAGATCTACAGTCAACTCTTGTTATAACGAATTCTATGTCCTAGACCTCAACTTCGCTATAAGGCTATAGTGAAGATTTTAAGAAATTTTATTAGCCAATTCGCTATAACAAGAGTATTTTTGTTATATTTGTTCAAAAAATTCGTTATATCAAGAGTTCGCTATATCAAGAGTTGACTGTATTCAATACCAGATATTTTATTATCAAAAGTAACTAATCGTCTTAAATTATTATGCAATTAAAATGTGATATATTCACGAAACCCATATACTTTTATGGAATAGTACAAATCTGTTAATATATATAAAGGTTGATTATTATTAATACAAATGCAGAAAGTAATAATGGACTTGTTAAGTTAATTGAAGCTCAGAGAGATTTAAAATATTTTAAGTGGGTTGATAATTTAAATGAGAATGAATGCCTTTTAGATGATAATCATATGGAAATTTATTTTGTCTTAAAGAAAAAGGCAGATACCCTTATTTATTTTATAAGCAGATTTAATGGTATTGGATATTTTACTAATAATGTATCGATGATACTACCAGAACTTCATAATTTAAAGGTATTAAAATCAAATATTATTACGATAACCTTGAATATTATTTGAATACTTTGAGATTTCAACATCTTGAAGTTCTACAAATAGATTATATTATAGCTAATGTGGTATGATTAGAAATAGCAGAAGACATCTCAAGAAAATTTTTATCTAAGAATTTGAAATCTATGATTATGACCTTTATGATGAATTCCTTACACTTATTAATACTATTCATGAAAATTTTCCTTTAGTTAAATATCTGTCACTCGTGTTTCTAACATCAGATGAGTATTTCATTAAACTTGAACATTTACTGAAGACTTGCAAAAAGTTAAAAATATTAATATTAGAGGTGTATGACAATTTTGATGATATGCAGAGATAATATCCGATGAAAGGAAGTTGGTATCAGAAGCAAATATATTGAATGTATTAATTAATTCTATACCTATTAACTTGGATGTAATTAGAATAGTTTATGAATTTAACTTTTCAATTAATATTCTAGGAGAATTTTTAGAGAATTGAAAAGGTCAACTGGCTCTTTTTATTTTTACATCAAGCTATGAATACAAAAAGAAAGAATTTACAAAATTAATTAATAAATACAAGAATAATAGTGTGATTAAAGAATTTAGACATAATTATGTTAAAAGAATTATTAATGATTTTAGATTTTAAATTATATCAGATTTTTTATTTGAGAGTTTATTAATTTAAACTATTATTATATACTCACTAGTCGAACGTTTAATTAAATATAAAGTGATTAAATTAAAATTGATATGTTTACATTTTCTTTATAAAATTAATATCTTATAATATTTAAATTAAAACACAATTTTTTTGCAAGCAACGGACAATTTATTATATTGCGTTTGACTTTTTAAAAAAATTTATTTACTCATCAGCTCTATGGAAAATAAATGTCTAGTATATTCAGAAAATACCATATACTCCCAAAATAAGCAAGTTATTATATATCGCAAAATGATATTTTGTGATTGTAAACTGCAATTTTTCTTTTAAAAAAATGATTTAAATAAACTATAGCTTGTTAGAATTTTTGTACTTAAAATTAGAAACTGGTATTATTTTATAATAGCTGATCTAACTAAAATGCTCAAATTCTTATATTATATAAAAATTGGCAGACATTAAAATTTTATAGGATAATTCTCAAGAACTTAAGATTTAAAATAAATATAAGAACATATTTTTAGCATTTATAGTAATTGATTATAAGCTGTAAAGTAAAAAAATAGTATTTTATATGGCTAATATAAATACTTTTGCATTTTTATTTAATGAAAAAATATATTTATAAATGAATTAAGCATCCAAAATTATTAATAATAAAATCAATTTAAAAATAATCTGTTTTTATTTTACTATTTTAAAAAAAATATATATTAAATTTTAATAAAATTCTACAAAAATTATACAAAAATTTCTTAAATTAATCTTATACCATAAAGAATTTCTAATATTACAGTATCACTTCCTATATAAGCGTAGACCATAGAGCTGTGACTTGTTACTATTTACTTAATACAACATAAATAAATATAAGTATCTGAATCAATAAAATAACAAATAGGTAAAAACAGATAATATCCAATTTGTATCTGTTATAGATGAGGGATGAAACCCCTTAATAACAGTCGAAACTTAGATGAAACTATATTAAAATCATAATAAGAGATATGACGAAACCCATTCGATATGATGAAAGCTGAAACTGTCAAAACTATATTAAAAATATAGAAAGGGTATGACGAAATTATTTTGAGAAGGTTTCGGCAGGCATCTATAGTATCCGTTTTATATTTATAAATATTGACCTGAATACAATTAATTTAATTCTTTTTAATTTAATTAATAAATTGAAAACTATTAAAAAATTCCAAATTTCTATATTGTAAAAGGAAAGAGATTTTTTATTTTATATTAAAAATACCTTAAATGTATATAATTGATAAAAATAAAACCAAATTTTTAAATAAAGTAAGAGTCAAAACTTAATAAATTATTAACAAAAGAATAATAGTTCAAACTCAAATACATATTATATTGTAAGTAAAAAGTTTCATATTATTATAAGAAGTCAAATGTTGAATAATTTTAATAATTAAGATTAAGATATGTTTCTATTGTAAAAAGTAAAAAAATCAGTTTATTTTTGAAAAGTTAACTAAAATTTAACTTAAATTTCATTTGATTTTGATAATTAAATACATGTTTCTATTGTAAAAAGTAAAAAAAATTAGTTTATTTTTTGAAAAATTAACCAAAATTCAATTTATGTTTCATCTAATTTTGATAATTGAAGGCATATTTCTATTATAAAAAGAAAAATCAGTTTATTTTTTAAAAAGTTAACTAAAATCTAATTATGTTTCATTAAATTTTGATAGTTAAAGGCATGTTTCTATTGTAAAAGTAAAAAAATCAGTTTATTTTTTAAAAAGTTAACTGCTAATTGATAAAATTCAACTTAAGTTCTTTTATTCTTGAAACATATTTTTTTGGTATTTTAATAATATATAAAAAAAGAAAATTTGTAAAATAATTTATAAAAAGATAAAGTTTGAATTGAATTATTTTTTAAAATTAAACTTTTTTATATAAATATTCTTATATATATTGAAAATAAACTCAAATAATACATTAAATCAATATTAATAAAGTCATTTTTTTAATTCAACAAGTACTTTAAAGATTTAATATAATTTTAAATCTGTTTAATCAAAAAGTTTAGTTCCTTAAATACATAAAAAATCATAACTTAGGATGATAAAACTATTATTTCTTAGAAGTAATAATAATATTATTTCTTAAAAATAATAAAACTATCATACTATTATATCTAAAGAATGATAAAATCATTATACCTAAAAAATGATAAACTACTATTTCTTGAGAATGATAATAATATTATTCCTTAGGTATAATAAAACTATTATACTTAAAGAACAATAAATATATTATTTCTAAAGATAATCAATAGTTCTATTCAGTTCTTCAATCTAGTTAAAGCCAATCCCAGTCTTTGTAAAACAGACCGTAGTCTTTTATAAAGTAAGACTGATAATAAGACTGATTGAAAGATTATCAATCCTATATTTTAGTCTTGTAATATTTTTTTTATTTTTTTCATTTCTTTAATATTTCAAATATTAAATATTTCTCTTTATTATTTTTAGATCATTTATTTAGCTCTTTTAGTTCTAATTTCTTAGATGATTACAGTAAGTTTATTTCTTTATATTTATATTTTTATTTCTCTACTTCATTTTTTTCATTTTTTTTATTACTTTAATATTTTCTAATATTTAATATTTCTCTTTCTTATATTTTAGACCATTTTTCAGCTCTTTTAATTTTAGCTTCTTAGGTAACTATAATAAGTTTATTTCATTTTATTTTATTCTTTTATTTCACTACTTTATTTTTTTTATTTTTTTTAGTTTCTTTAACATTTCTAATATTTCTCAACATTTTTTATGATAATATAATAATAATTTAAAAAACAATTATTTAATTTTTACAGTTATAATATATGTAATGAATAAATTAAAATAATTAATAAAATTATAATTAAAATAATAAATATAAAGATTATAACTAATATAAAAATCAAAATAAAAATAAATATAAAAACAAAATTTAATATAATTAGTATAATACATATTTTTAATAGAATAAATCTATTTGTAACAACATGTTATACATTTTTATTTGTAATAACTTCAAAAAAAATCACGTAATATAATACATTGCATTACACTAACTGTATCTATTATTGTTATTATTATATGACATAACGTGACGCAGTTTGTATCACGTGATGCAGATT